AAAGGAGGGAGGAGAAGGGGGGAGGGGAGGAAGAGGAAAAGGGGGAGATAGGACGGGGATGACACTTTAGTCCAGGGTAAAACTGGATATTCTACAAGACTGTGAGCTCCTTCCCTGGGGACACGTAAACAAAGCACAGATGAGACACAACAAGACTTAGAAAGGCCGGTAACTATCTGCCAAACATGGCATGACAAGACTGAAGTCTAAAGGATCCAAGACACTATAGGATCTAAACTGAAATTCAAAGTCGTATAATCCCAACCTGTGCTCCATGTGCTTGTTTTATAAGCTCAGAGAGGTTAGCTGGTTTATCTGAGTATACACAGTAAATCAGATTCAGAGTAGATATTGGAGCCAGAGTTCCCCCAGAATTACCGTGATACTCCACCTCCAACACCTCAGAACTTCTGTTAGCCTGAACCCCAGGGCACACAAGTATTTTGACTATACATCTTTCTCAGTACAGGGAGATCTGGTGGCCTTGTCATAAGGAGTTGCACAGCCAACTCAAAGGTAGGAGGTTTGAATCTACAAGCTGCTTTGCAGGAAAAAGTTGGGCAATCTCCTCCCATGCAATTTACAGCTTCTGAAAACTCACTGAAGGGTCAGCTGTGACATTATTCCAATCAGACAGCATATAACACAAAGAATGTATCAGTATAACCTTTGGAAAGCACCTCTCTCTACATTTTTATTTCTAAATTACATTTATGTTCTGCTGTCTAGGTTTATCAAGAACACCATAAAATATGGGAGAAAAATCCAGGAAACAATAAAGACTATTCTTTAGAACAATCGAGTTGTTGTCTTAATAATATTGTCTTAAGGAGACTTGGTGAGGCAATGCTTGAAGCATTTAGCTACCAAAAAAAAAGTGCTGCCATTAGAAACCATCAGTCACTCCTCGGGAGAAAAGACCCAGTGACCAGTTCATGTTAAGTTTCCAGCCTAGGAAACCATGTAAAACAGTTCTACTCTGACCTACAGGCAGAGATGGATTCCTCAACACACAAGGTCGGCATGGGTTACTTGTGCTAACTAGTGCTAGCCCAGTGATCCTCCACCACCCATTAACTTAAGACTGTATATTTAACACCCCACCCTGCTTCACAGATGAGGAAGAACAAGGCTCTGAGAACTGGAAAAGCTTGCCCAAGACCCTTAAAGGGAGGATTCAAACCCGACTCAGATCCTACTCGCCCCCCTCCTCCACCACCTGCCCAGTGTCCCCCAGCCTCATGTCATGTCAGCGATGCTGTGGGTTAGGAAGGGCACCGACCCCCTGTCACCTCCAGTCTTCCTCTTCCTCCTTGCAGCAGAAGCCTGTGAGTGCACAAGAAGCAGCAGGCAGCAATGTTACTCCTACCCTCATGGTAACCACACACGTTTCAAAACCACACTCACTCTTCCCCATTTCATCTTCTCAACAGCCCTGCCAGTGGTTTGGGGTAAGGCGTTCTCAAATGAGGCTCAGAGAGGATAGGCATCTGCCCAGGGACAGAGCAAAGAAGTCTCAGAGGCTGGCTTGGATTCTCTACCTCACCCCATTTACTAAAGACACTAGTTCCTGATCGAGAAGGCTCAGCTCCCAGGACCCGAAGAGATGAGATGAGATGAGATGAGATGAGATGAGATGAGATGAGATGAGATGAGATGAGATGAGATGAGATGAGATGGAGAAGGGCTGATGTGTAATGAGAACCTATTGTGTACTTAGGCCTGTGTACACAGGTAGGCCCTGAAGTCCTTTAAGACCCCGACAGGAGACACAGCATTATATACATTATACAGACAAGAAAATCAAGTTTCTGAGAGAACTCACATGCCCTGTGTCACACAGTGGCCAAGCTGGGATTCGAACACTGTTGCCTCTACTCCAGGGCTCAGGACTCCACCCAGGACCTGATTCTGTTCTCACCAACTACCCGTCCACCCTCCCTGAACTCAGTCCTCAATCCCAGACCTCGCTGTGAGGTGATCGTGGCCCTGTTCCAGCTCCTCCCTGGGGGAAGTCACATCATCAACACTCAAGGTGTTTGGGAGGATCAAGCTTAGGAGAACAGGGAGGTAGGGGAGAACCCCTGCAAACTGCAGCTCATCACACAGAGGCCGACCCCTCTTAGGCCTGCACACTGCTCATTATGAAGCTCTCACTGCTCTACTGTGGTTCCCGGCCAAGCGCTGTTTGTAGTTGCCGGAAAGCACCTGCCTTACCAGGCGGCACATGCTGGAACAAGTCCGGAAACCCCAAGAGTATAGATTTCCCAGGTCTTGGTCTCTCACCTTC